CCCACATCTCCATCTTTCTTATTCAACTTCCCCTCTACCACAGCCCATGGTCAGCATGCAGCTGAAGCTGGTACCTGCCCCAGTCAATTTCTTCTTGGCTTTCTTCTTCTCCAACAGAACAAGAGACCATATATCCTAAACTCAAACCTCAGCTCCCTTTATTTTGTGCAGATTCAGTTAGAGCTGCTGTGAAACTGACTATGTGCTAAAGGGACAATTGCCAAATCTTTGCTGCTTGAGATTCAGATGGTGTCACTTCCATGTAGTAGAGGTATGCAGAGAACTTTGGCTATAAACCTATGCTTGAGACCGATAATATTTCCTGGTGGTAAAGGCCTGTAGTGAAGAAATGGATCCAGTGCTAACAGAAATAATTTATTGCCTTGAAGGAAGGCAGGGTGCCTGGTTCACTGAGATGCACATGTATAGTTTGCACTAAGAAATCTCTTCTTGACACCAGTGATACACCTTCTGTATCAAGTCTTCCTCTCTTATTTAAGCTTATGGAAAAGGGCATAGCAAGACAACTCAATTCAACAGCCTGAGATCATTTACTCTGGTTACCAACTTGTCCATAGCAAAAACAGCTCTGCTGGTAGTGGTAGATATTCTCTTTCTAATACAATGCAAGTATCGAGTATTCATCAGATCCATCAGCTGTATTGAATATAGAGGACCACAGCATGTTGACTTGTCTGTATACTTAGTGGAGGATAAGGCTACTCTAAGGTGGCACCTTACTGAGGGTCTCAGAAAACAGAACTGGATATTCACTGTATTACAGTAGCACCTACACCCAGTCATAGACTATACTAAGTAAATGCTGTATAAAACTGTACCCGTAAGGGGAGCACCCACTTGTGCACTGTGTGCAGTCTGGAGGGGCCAGGGCCCCTGCTGGTATAGCCTTTGGCTCCAGTCCAGGCTTAACTCAGTGCCCTAAACAGAATAAGATATACCTGTAAAAGTCTCTTTCTGGTATAAAATCTTTGCTACAGTTCTGCTAGCATAGCCAGTTCAATTAGGGGTGCCATTTTTCTACACTAAAATAACTATCAGCAAAAACAAAGGTAGGCCAGGCCTCAGCTTTATATCTTCATTTTCACTAACCTGACTGGAGCCATTAATGTCCTGGGGAGGAGAGGAGGAGGCATGAAGTCTCTGAACCCTGACCTGACAAGGTAAAGGTGCATTTGTGCACACATACCTTTTGTAGGCTGGGCTTATAACTTTGGGATTTGGCAGGGATCACAAGGGGAAGTTAAACTAAAATAACACAAAGATAACAAATGATTTAACTTGATATTGGAGTAAACAATAGATCTGGTAAAAGACCACTCTGTGCCTGAATGCTTGTCCAACATATTTCCTAACTATACAACTGGTCCCAAAACAACAACACACAAAAACCCCCTTCCTTGTCTCTTGTACCTTTCCTGGACCACCATATCTGCAACACTTCAGTCCTACTAAAAGTTTGAATACTACACTTTAAGCAACTGTCAGTGGTAGCAATAGTACTGAAAGCATACTTTGATATTAATATAGTTAAATAGAAACAAGAGTCTGTGCCCACTGATTAGCAGCCCCGCCTTTACTTTTATTTGACTTTTCAAGATGCTCATTCACCAAATGTAAGACTTTATGCTGCTAGCCCAAAATATATCTTGTTAGTTTGCTTATCCACTCTATCTTGCCTAAAGGAGTAAGTTTTAAAAACAATTTTGCACGACTGATTTAAGATGTCACGTGTTTTGAAAGTATGCGTGTTATCTAGACTATAGGGCAGGGTCACAGTTATTACAGTACTCTGAAGTTAGTGTTTTCCTCCTGACTCTAAAGAATGGCCCCTGTAAAAGTATATTTCAAGCAGGATTAGAATTGAAACACCCATTAATCATAATGTAGTAGCTTCTAACCACTGATGAGAGTAGAGTAGTTTGGGCCTTCCAAATTAATCTTGCTGTTGGACCTTACTGTACATACTGCCAATACCTTTTGCCACTTATCACTGTTCTTGTTCAGAGGACTCTACAGGTGCTAAGCTACATTTCTTTCAAACCTGGGACACTATGACCTCCCAAAGTGACTGGAAATGGCAAAACCGGAATAGAGAAATGCCCGAGCACCAAGTGACAAACATGAACAAATAATATGAGATGTAGAGTTACAGTAGTACATGTATTAACTCAAGACATTAAGGTGACAAAGCTCCATCCACCCAGCAAACATTCTGTGGAAGTGGGTGAGTTGTTACTCTGGCATCCCTTTCTGTTAAGCTTTTAGCTTTCTATACTTTACAGTTCCGACAAAAAAAAGTGAACCAATTGCATCCCAGCCTTCTGAGCTTGTGTCCCAGCCTTCTAGAGCTCACAGCTTTGCAAGCAGTTAGAGTGAAACTAAAGTTACAGGTCGGTTTTCATTGCTGCTGTTGACAGCACCTTAGGCAGCTGGTCAACCAAAACAAATTTCCTCCTGTTACAGCAAAAGCTCTGTTATCCGGCACCCACAGGGAATGGGGGGTGCTGGATAACCAAATATGCCAGTTACCTGGGACGCATCTTTGCCTGGTCGGGCTGCTGCCCCTCCCGCTGCATCCGGTGAGTCAGTGTGCTGGGGAACAGGCACCATGCCGCCCCTCCCCTGGCATCAGCATGCTGGAAGACAGGAAGGGGGCTCCCCACAAAGGCTGTTTTGCCCCGGGTGGTGTCCCAAAGTGGGACTTCTGGTTTTGCTTTTGCCACATTGACCAGCATGCCGGTTAATGAAGTGCTAGATAACACAGCCTTTACTGTATTTGGAAAGCCAGGCATAGAGACAAACACTGGAGACAATAGGATACATCAGTGGGTCTCAAACTTGTCAAACTGGAGGCAACTTCAGAAAATACCAGCCCTTAGTTTTTACTCAGTTTTTGAACTACAGAAAAATAACAGAGAAATTTTTCTGTTGCAGGGAAACCAGAAAAGCCACAGCAGGGCTGAAATAATTCCTAATGGACATTTCTGAGTTTATCTTGTGAATCTTGTTTGCACAACTAACAGCATCCCTGAAAAGACCTCAAGGCCATAAAGCGAGAATATAAAAAGTGCCACACTGGGTCAGACCAATGAGCCATCTAGCTGAGTAGCCTGTCTCTGACACTGGCAGGAGAGCATCAGAATTGATTTCTCTAGAACAGCAGTGCCCAACCCTTTGTGCCCCGCAGGCCAGATGGTCAGCACCAGGTCCATCTACAGGCCAGATCTGGCTGGTGGGCTTGATTCAGCATGTGGGGTCAGGGAAGCGGGGAGAGAGCCAGCAGGGCTGACCTCTCTTCAGGTGCAGAGGTGGCGGAGGGTGAAGGGAAGGTACAGAGGTCTGGCCTGATCTGGACATGTAGGGGGCAGGCCCAGCCCTGATCACACTGTGCAGCAATGGCTCAGGCAGAGTTGGATCTGGGAATTGTGGAGCTTCCACCGCTCCCCCACTGCCAAGTTCTCCCTTATGGGCTGGATGCCATGGCTCTGTGGGCTTGATATAGCCCATGGACCAGAGGTTGAGCACCCCTGCTCCAGAGTAATTTATCTCCTATTTCAATACTTTTCCTGGCATCCACCATTTATCAGGTGAGATACTGGAGGACACATCCAACCATTCTGCTCCGCTGCCATCAGGAGATCCATCCTACCATGAATGTCTCCAGTCCCTTCCCAAACCTGGCTGCCCTATCTGCCTCCACCACCTCCCACAGCAGAGTGCCACACGCTAATGGCACGTGGTGCAGCGCCAAATCTAACTTTCTCTTGGTGCTTTGTCATGACCAGATTCCAGGTTTGCAGTTTCCAAGAGCTCAGAGAAATCAGATAGCTCCAGCTTGGAAAGAAACGTCACTTTGTCTCTGTAGACTCCTTTGACGGAGAAGAGCGCTCAGGGGACAAACAGCACTTGGTGGACGTGCAGTGGGGTCCCACAGAGAGATTCAGCCACACGCTCTCTTGCTTGTTTTAAACCTGCTGCCTACTCTGGGCAGCAGCAGGCCTCCTAGTCCTAGCGTGGAACAACAGTTCCCGGGTCACTTGGGCCAAACCCACAGGGGGATTGTATGGGTCCAACTGAGGATACTGGGGCCATTCTAAGAATAAGAAAAGCAGAGAAGGGAAGTAGATGCCCGCCCCCACAGGACTGGGGAGAAAGTCTTGTTGGCCTCCCACAGCAATATCCAGCCCCCCTTCGCCAGAGGTAATGATAATAATAATAATAATAATAATCAGAGAATGGGGAACAAAATTACCGTTTTCTGGCCCCTTTCTGTCTGGGCCTAATTCACCCATGCCTGTGTCGGGCCTTGGCAGCAGACAGCCACCTATAGAGCCCCGGGCAAAGCAAAGCAAAGCAACCTCCCCCACCACCACCCCTCACCACGCACGTGGGCAATGTCCCCGGTTCAGCCCAGGCTCTGAGCCAGAGAGCAAGCGCCGCAGCGGCCGGGCAGCCCGGGCCGGGACCCACCTTCACGGCCACGGCCGGGGCGGCGTCGACGGGCAGGGGCTGGTGGGCGGAGGGCGGCGCGCGCAGGTGCAGCACG